GGGTAGACACATAATATTGAACACAAATAAACAAACATTTTCAAAACATTTCTCATTTAGTGCGTTTTTAAATTTAAATATTTTGAACCAAAAATGTATGCAAGAAATGTTAAATATAACTTAAAAATTACATTATTTAGAGCATTGTGAATGGTAGAAGCTGCGACCAAATTATCTTCCAAAATAGCTGCATTAAAATATAACAGCAGAGCTGGCCACTGTTCAAGAGTACGTTTCACGACTGCCTAAAAAAAAACAAGCTAAAATAAATTTCAAATACTAAAAAGCATTTTAGATAATATACACATACTTCTAATGACAACCACCTTGTCTGGCTTGGTTTGAGAAGTTTATGAGGTTTTAATCTGGCATATTCCTGAAACTCTTTATATTCGACAATACGCTTGCTGCTGCAATTTAAATAATTATAAATATCACGAACAAAATCCTCTATCTGTTTGGGAAGCTTTTCGGCTGCTGCAGATGCACAGAGGTGGAGGGAGTGGCAAATACAACCCATAACAAATATATTGGGGTTTATTTGTTTTAGCTTAGCTTGTACTCCATTAAATTTTCCCATCATCACAGCTGCATTGTCAGCCGCAAATCCCAATAAATTCGAATAAGGTATTGATAAACTTTCAATAGTAGTTAAAAATTTTTGTAGTATTCCTTCAGAAGTGACATCTGTAACTTCAACCAAAGCTAGAAGTCGATCCTTTACTTTTTCTAGTCTTATATCCACATATCTCACAAGTATGGCTAAACATTTTTTTACTGAGACGTCAGTGGTTTCATCAACTATTATGGAATAGTTTGTATCTTTTAGAATGGATGCAATACTTTGTTCACTGTCCTTTTGAAAATTTTTAAGTAAACATGTAGTTTTCGTCCTTGAACAAGATATACTTTTCAAAATTTCTGAGTCTGGAGCTGCGGATGATAATAATTTGGGCAAATGGTCCATTAACAGTAAAGGTAAATTGTGCTCAATGGCCATCATTGTAAGTTTCAGTTCACATTCCTTCACTTTCCTGGCAAAAACTTTTTTTTCTCCAACTTTTTAATTATAATTTCTCATATCAATAGTATTTTTTATTGAATGTTCCCTTTTCTTGTGGGAAATTCTTTTTTCATGTCTTTCCAAATGTGTGTAACTACCCGTTACATTCTTATTACAATATTTACAAAAGCTGAAGCCTTCTTTATCAACTAACCACTTAAACCGCTTGGTGTAGACCTCACGACACTTCTGAATATATTTCCCTTTTTTCTAAAATGAAAAACAATATTTAATAACAATAAACATAGCTGAACATTTTATCACTTACATTTCTTCTGGTTACATCTGGCACAACTTCTATTACCCCATTTTCACTAATATCTGATTCAGATTCAGATCCATCAGTGCTACCAGCTGCAGTGGAGCTTGGTAAAGCAATAGGAATAATTGGCTCTGTAACTGATTGTATGGAAGTTGAAGGTTCTGAGATAAGTGGTTCAGCAATTTGTTGGTGTATGGGTTTAAAAAAACTAAAAAAAAAACACATTTACAATATCATATTATTTATAAACTTAGACATACCTACCTAATAATATTAGATTGTTTAGCCATAGGAACTATTTCACCAACAATCCAAAAAACAAAGTATGAACTATACTATACGCCAATACGCCCCAAAGGCCAACACCACAACCTGCACCAGTCAACCACAAATATGATGATATATATCTACAAACTACAAATACAAAGTTAACACACAAATGCTAAATACTACTGATTACTATTTAATTACCTGCTATACTGGAAAATGCGACGATTACAAATTACGACAAACGATCGAACATCTAACAATTTTAACCACAAATTCTAACGAATCTTGCGTCTGTTACTGTCACCTGTCACTGGTCACTGTCATTACTGTCATTGTGGTTTGTCGTTTGTCAAATAAATATCAACCGTTTGTAATTAACAACCATAGATCATGACATTTATAGAGGAGCAAAGCACGTAAAGTAATTTTTTACTGAGAGTGAAGGCAAAACAATAAAATATATATTTTTCAAACTCTACCTCAAACTACTTGCCTTGAACAGAAAAAGGTACTGATGGATAAAAAGTGGCACTGAGGTACTGATAATGGCCAAAAAGCACTGATTTCAGTACTTTAGCACTGACACTGGCAACGCTGGGCAGTGAGCAGTAAGGCAGGATGGCGCGTGGCTTGACCTGTGATCTCGTAATCACTCACGTGACTTAGGTCGGAGGATTGGATAAGGTGGTTTCATAACAGCTCTGGTTAAACTGGGACTAGCTGCTAGTTTGTTCTTATACATTGTTGCTTAGTAAAATGTTCGAAACCTAATAATTTTAATACAATAATAATTGTCCAGAACATTTATTTGGTTTAAGTTAAATATTGTGATGTAGCGGTCAAATTCGTAGGTATATATTGATATTAGGATTTATTTGCAAAATTAATACTTTTCTAATATAGGTAGTAGGTATTTATAAAAATTTCCCTAAACTAAAAATCAGCTATTTCCATATTAAATTATTACCTTTATATTTTTATATTTAACTCTTTAGTGGTTCTATAAAAAATGCAAAATTTGACGTTTCGTCTCAACCCACAAGTCCCACAACGCATTTTTTAATGGATTGAAACAAAATCTTTTTTTTGCAAACAATTACCACTTGGCCATAACCGACTTGTTTTAAAATGTTTAATTTGGAAAATAATCGATTAATCCCTTCAGCATACTGATATAGCCTACACATGTAAATTATGTAGAAAATAGATAATATGCTCGTGGGTGTAGAAAAAAATCAATAAAAATCCAATTAAGTACCATTATTTGCTATATTGTACCACATTGGAATAAAACTTATATTGGATCCATATTGGAAAAAACGTTGCAAATAAGAACATTAGGGATACATGTTCGGATAATATTAATCCTATATTTGGATATAAGATTGAATTATATTGGATTAATATTAGAAAAATAGGCGCTACCAATATAACCATTAAAAAAATATGTTGGGCTGATATTGTTCATATGTTTTAAATCAATATTTTTTTGATATCAGACTGAATTCTGTTGCCAATATAGGCTACTGCTATTTTGTCATCATTAAGAGAACATAGCTCTCTAACATTGGCAATATCAACAAAACATAGTTTAAACCTGAATAGAAAATCAATAAAAATCCAATAAACTACCATCATTTGCCATATTGTTCCCACATTGGAACAAAAATTATAAATTATATTGGATTATTATAGAAAAAATAGGCGTTGCCGATATTAACATTAGAAAAATATGTTGGACTGTTATTAATCCTATGTTTAGAATCAATATTTTTTTAATATAATATTAAATTCTTTAGCCTACTCCAATATTTACATTATAGACAGAACATAGCTCTCCAACATTGGCACTATGTACTAAACAAAAATTAAACCTACATAGAAAATACATTAAACTACCAATATTTGCTATATTACATCCACATTGGTACAAAAGTGATACTGTATATTGGATTAATATTGAAAAAATAGGCATTGCCACTATGAACTTTAGAAAAATATGTTGGGCTAATATTAATAATATGTTTTGAACAGATATTTTTTTGAAATAAAATTGAATTCTGTTACCAATATGGGCAACTGCTATTTTTTCATCATTTAGAGAACATAATTCTTCAAGATTGGCCCTATCTATAAAACAAATATTAAACCTAAATAGAAAATCATTAAAAATCCAATAAACTGCCGTTATTTACTATATCTCACCCACATTAGAACAAAAATGCTAAATTATATTGGATCAATATTGTGAAAATAGGTGTTGCCAATATACACGTTAGAACCATATGTAGGACTAATATAAAGGCAATATTATAAAGCAATATCTTTTAGTCATAACATAAAGTTCTTTTGCCAAGCCACAGCCAAGATTCATTGCTACCTGGGAAATGGTGTATACCACCATATATAAATCGTGGAGGATTGATTTCAAAACAAATTAATTTTAATACTGTCCATGCTAAGTTGAGACAATGTGTTGAAAGAACATTTGCTTTATTTTATGGAAGAATGCGACGTTCACAACACTTAGATATGAACAGATTTAATCTCTATACATGTGTTATAAAAGCAGCTTGTGTCCTTCACAATATGTGCCTGTTAGCTAGAGAAGAGAACATTGAAAACTATATTCAAGAAGGCCTTCCTGTGGTTCATAACAATGATGATTTAGAAATGGAAAATAATGTGCATGTCGATATTAGAGCATTGGCTGTAGAAGGCAATGCACGCAGAGATGCCTTAGCAAGGCAACTGCAGCCCTAGTCTAGCATGAATGCTACACGTATTATAATGTTGACAACAAAATTAAAACTTGAAGTAATGATACTTTTATAGAATTACAATGATTTTACTCGCAAATTCATGTGTATTATTATTTAGAATTCCAATAGTGATTAACCTTACAAGTTCAAATAGAACTTTTCGCACAATCTTCCTATGAACGCTAAATGCAGCAAAAGTAGTTAAATACCTATCAGAAAAATAATTCTAAAAATTTACGAATGTGATGACTTTCCGCTCGCTCATAGGATTTTTTTTTTCTAGAATCTACACAAAGAAACGTAAATCAGAGTATTTTTTGAATATTTCATTAAGAAACTCTTCAGAAATCCTGCTAACACCTAGGCTAATACTAATATTACTAATTGAGATTACTGGAAAATAAACAAAATTCATTGTCAAAAAACTAGGTTGTAGCGTAGCAACCTAACTAAACCAAAACAAATTCTAATATCTAATATTTCAAAAATGACAAAAAGAAACTACATTTTTTATTAACCTTTTCGCTTCTTTGGTACAATACTAGATACTAATGGCACATTTTTGTATAAGAACTTGGTAACAAAAATAAATCTTCTTTTAAAAATTAGGCAAAGAAGCCTAGTAGGGTGTCTCACGCAGAATTTATTGATTTTTTGGAACTAAATCTTTAGCTAGAGAAATCAGTTGCCTACACAAATTCAGTACCTCATTTTTTTTTCTAAATTTTCTTTGTCTTCTTTTGGTGTTTTTACCACCCGTTTTGTTTTTTTTTTTTTTTGACCGAGGATCATCAACATTTTCATTATTAGAATCATGTGTTGTAGTTTCTGATGGGAAGTTATTATTAGAAGACGATGCTATTGCCACCGGTTCTATGTTGTGATCTTTTTTAAAGATTTCATCTATTTCATCAAAATAGGCAAACATTATTTTGGATTCTCCAGTTTTATTCGTAGACATGTTGTCCTTTTTTTGTATACATTGTTTTTAAATACTTGAATTTGTTACGACATTGATTACCATTTTTGTCTGACTCCATCTTATCAATCATATTCCAAAACCGATCTTTTTCTGATTACTGTTGACTTAAAAGACTCTTGATTTTCTCCATATAAAATTATTAGTTTCAAAATATCACTTCCTGTCCATGGTGATCTTAATTCCTTATCTGCAGAGCTCGCAGCAGAGCTAACAGTTTTCTGGAGAGTTGCCACTGTTGTGACTTCCGTTTTAACCAAATTTGAAGCATTCTTATCTAAAAAAAATCATATTATTCAAGAGCAATGACTGTTTATTATAATTATTTGTCTCAAGTTTTTGTTAAAATTGCAGTTAAATTAAATTTTGAAACAGTTATCACAACATATCAGTTTTGAAGGATGATTGTACAATGGAACAAATCTGATTGATGAAATCAAATCACGGTATCTCTTTAAGAATGAGATATGCAAAATAAGGATAACACGTTTAAAAAACTGGAGAATGCACAAGATGCTCGCTTATTTTGTTAACATGGATTAACTGAAAAAAAAAAAAGATTGGCTATTGGGTGGCAATTAACAACCCAATATAATTTACCAAGATCCGATTTTATTGTTCACTATAAATAATAAAATCATAGAATTTGTTACCTGCAATAGTTTCGGCCTCGGTTTCGGCTTTGGTTTCGAAATGTTCTTCATCATATTCTCCTGAGTATTGTACTTCGGCAGCAGTCACTCTTGCATGATTCAGCAACGCCTGTGCATAGAAATTATCTGGAATCAGAAATAATTAAAATTAATTATGAAGAACATCTCAGTGGATTTTTTCAAGGTTTTGATGTACCTAGGACGAAGGTACTGTAGGTAGTAAGGATTGATTATTATTAACTTTACCTACCAGTTAGGGCTCGTTGAAAATCTTCATCATTTAAATCAATTATATACTGTACTATTTTCAGCGTCTTCCAATTGTAGTTTGGGCATATTTACGTAATATTTATCAAATTGGTGGGAAATAGGTATATCAATTCGGAATAATTTCACCTATTTATTTTGTTAATCCAGGAAAATCATAAACATAAACAGATGATTGCCAACATTCCCAACGCGCAAGTCCGGCAACTTTCATCCATGTGTTTCGAGGTGGACGTCATGGCAAGTCGCCCGAAGATTATTTTTGTCAAACTGAACGCTGGCAAAGAACCAGGCAAAATGGGGTTCCGGTTAATATGCCTGAATTTTTGGTATCGACTTCCTGAACAATGAGCACAACTCAATCCTATGGCCAGTTTTCAACATACAGGGTGATGAAGTTGAAAAATTGCCATTTTTAAAACGTATTAAAATGTAATTTTCCTACTATATTAAGGATTTTTTGCTGTAATAGTATTCTGATAACATCAAATAATATTGCTTTGTGTAGAAAAAGTATTATTTGATACAGGGTGATTCAAAAAAAATTATTGATGCTGTGTATTCTACTTTACAGTGGGATTATGAAAATATTAATATTGGGTCTAAATTAACTTTAGTTGAACTTATTATTAGAAGGTATAAAAACATTTTATACAGGGGGAGTCAAAAAGTTGATCGACTCTGCAGGTTACTTACAATTTTATATATTTTGTAATACAAGTCAGTAGTCGACATTAAACCATTTTCAAAAATATATTATTTATAAATTAAATACAGGGTGATTCAAAAGGTATATAAGGTAGAAAATTACGAAAATTGATTTTTTCTGCGAATCACCCTGTAATTTAATATTTCCTCCGTTAATTTCTCTTAATTTTTCTTATTGTCTTTGATTTGAGTTTGTTAGTCCCCTATAGAAGTTTGCGAAGTTACTAAGATCAGTTTTTTATATCGACTTTGTGATGACAAGTCTGTCACAATGTATACGCTTATACCTGAGCCCATAAATATGTTTTTATTTTATTTAATCATTCAGGATTTATGTCATTCTAACGTTATTTGTTTAAGGAAATATAAATAATATGTAACATATAAATAAACAATGTATTAATATTATTAGTAAGCCAAATATCCGAAGATGCAAATATTATTAGTGAGCCAAATATCCGAAGACGCAAATATTATTATGTTTTTTATATACATAATATTATCTGCAATCAATTCGAATAAGTTACTTATATAGGTGTAATGTATGTAAATTAACATATTAACAAACATATGAACCCGTTTCCTCACCACCATAGAGGTAGAGTTCCCGGCGCGTTTTTTTAAGTGGTGCCATAGGCCTAATCCACTTTAACCTGGGAAATGCAGGTCTCTTGTAATGTAATGAAATATACATATACAGGGTAACTGTTAAATATGGAACCAAACCTATAGTGCTTAAACGGTTCAACATACAAAATCCAAAATTTTAGAATTTCAACTAAATATATTTGTGCATATTTTAGCCCAAAAATTATTTTTCTTATAATTACAAAATTTTAGGAATGGTCGCATCTTGATTTTTTTAAATTACAACATAGGTCATGTGATATACCATTTAAACGGGGTTTAACACCCTGATTACAAAAATGTATCACACATGGGGTTTAAACACAACAAAAAGGATATTATTTTAAAAAATCAAGATGGCGGCCATGCTTTAAATTTTGTAATTATAAAAAAAATAATTTTTGTGCTAAAATATGCACAAATGTATTTAGTTGAAATTCTGAAATTTTAGGTTTTGTATGTTAAACCGTTTAAGCACTATAGGTTTGGTTCCATCTTTAACAGCTACCCTGTATATAAAAATATTTAAGGAACGAATATACTAACAAAAATAACTACATGTGTAGAATTTAATCCAAGTCACGAAAGAAGAAACAAACGAAATGAACTAAAGTTAGGTAGGTACTGAAAATATTTAATTTTCTACAATTTCTGGACCATGATCAATATTTGCTGGTAGTATCCTTTCAGCTGCATCAGTAATTTCATTTAAGGGTTGAGAAGATGGATATCTCATATTTTGTTCATATCCAGCATAACCCAAAAACCATAATACACTGGCCACATGAGCACATGTTCCTAAAGTTCTAGCTCCCGACACTATATACTTAAATATATTACGAAATCTGGAGTACACTTGAATTCGTATAATGCTCGGATCCTCCACCAATTCTTCAAATTGAACAATATTTGTTTCTTCTCTTTGACGTTTATCTTGAATATAACTTTTTGCCAAGTTTACATGATAAATTCCAGTCAGCTGCTTTAAATAGTGTAAATCTAAACGGGGAACTCATGAGCGTGCAAGTGATTTAATAAAACCCACTGACCGTCCCCAAAATGTAGATTTTCAGCTTCAACTCGTGCTTGTAAAATATTTACTTCGTCCAATTTACCTAATATTTGTTCCGCCATTTGTATTGTACCGGGCATGGTTATTGGGGGATGGAATTTATTAATAAGAGCTCCAGCTATCTGATAATATTCGTTTAAATTAGCAGAATGGTGTATCGAAATAGTGTTCTTTAAAAACTTGAATATAGATTTCAAATGTCCCTTACGAGATTCGACTATCCAACATGTGGTTTTAATATATCGGGCAAGATAAGCATCACGTGTTTCTAATTGAGCCTGTCCTCTAAGAAGAGGGGGCATCAGACAGTTAATACCATACTCATGCAATAACGGAACAAAATCTCGATATCAGAGGTAGAACTATCGATAGTCGGGCTATCGATAGTAATCGATAGTTTATTTCTAAACTATCGATAGTTTTCGATAGTCAGAGCGCATTCAGCAGGAGGAAGTGTAATGTAATGAAACTTAATTTTATTTTCAAATATTCAAAACAATGATAAATTTTTATTCAAAAATAGAATCATATTCACAGTTTTAGCCTTTAATCGTGTTCTTCGTTGTTCAACAATTTTTCCCGTTGTACTGAATACCCTTTCACTTTCCGCAGAGGTTGCAGGGATGCAAAAGAATTTTCGAGCACATTGATCCAGAGGTTTCATTTCTACACCTGCAACCTGAAAATATTTCAAATAAATTAAACATCACAGTATTTTTAATCTAATTTACCTTCCAAAATAATAAAGGATCAGTTTCCTGATTGGCGTTTACTCGCTCGAGATATTGCCTTTTCGTTATAATAACATCTGCTTTTAATGATTTTTCTTTGGCATTTATTTGTTCCTTTGAAAAAACCAAATGAAGGCAACTCTTTGGTGATTCAGAGGACTTTGGTTGCTAAAATCCACCTTCGGTAATATTTTGGTTTTCCTGTTCCTGGCCTTCATGCATTTTTCTTGTTCCATTAAAGTACTTGCATTTTCTGCACTTCTAAACCCCTCTTTCTTAAATCGAGGATCCAATATTGTACCCAATTTACTAACTGTTCGAATTTCGTATGGAAATAAACTTGTCTTTACAGCATCTATTAAATTTGTACAAAATGTTTTTCCTTCTTCTGTTTTTAACTCCTCAAAACAAAGAAGTACTTTCTCTATTTCTTTAAGAATGCAGCACCCTTCTAATGAAAGAGGCGCAGGAGCCTTTTTTAGCTGCAATAAGGCTCTATTAAGGGCCTCACTAGTTTGATTGATTCGTTGAATCATGTAGAAACTACTGTTCCACCTAGTAGGAACTTCCTGCAACAACTTTAAAGGAGCACTTCCTTCATTAGTATTCTGTTCCTTTTTGAAGGTTTCCATAGCCACATAGCTACTTTTAAAATAAGTAACTGTACTCTTGAATTTTTTTAAAATGTTCTCTACACATGGTAAACTATCCTGCACTACCAAATTTATTAAATGTGCAAAGCAAGGCATATGCCGTTTTTGTAAAATACTGCATGTTTTTATCATATTAGCTGCGTTATCCGTCACAATGCACACTATTTTATTATCGTTTTGCCATTCAATAAAAATTTCATTTAGAGCCTTTGATAAATTTTCTGCAGTGTGACTTATTTCATTCAGTGGCTTTGTAGATAAAAGAGCTGATTTTAAACACCAGGCATAATCAATATAGTGACATGTTACTGTCAAGTATGACTCAGTAGCTAAAGATGTCCAAGCATCAAACGTAACAGCTACATAGTCTGTTTTTTGAAGCTCTAGTTTTAATTTATTCGCAGTTTCCACAAAAGCTTTTTTAAGCATTTTTTTGCTTAATGTAAATGTACTAGGTAATTCATACCTAGAATCCAGTAGTTTAATAAATTTTCAAAAAACCAACATCTTTCACAATAGAGAAAGGTTGAAGATCTAAGACAGTCATCTCTAATAAAGCATTATTAAGTTGTTTTTTTTTTCGTTGAGATGAACTATCATATAAAACTGATTTTTTAAAGTAGCTTGTACATGATGTCGTCGACTGCTCTGAGCTTGCACCACTTGCAGATGAACCAGGTCGTTGCTGATATTCATTACCACAATCAGTGTTTGATGGATTATTGTGAAAATTAAGCGAATGAAACCTTTTTAGATGATCTGACAGATTACTTGTATTTCCACTGGTTTTATATTCTTTGCCACACGTGGTGCATTTTGCAAATTTCTTGTCACTTGACCTTGTGAAATATCTCCATACTGCAGAAATTTTATTTCTTTTAGTTTTAGATTTGTTTTTTTAATATCAGTAACATTGATCACACTGTTTTCACTATCCGAGTCAACTTTATTTTTTGGAGAATATGGTGATCGTGACCTCCTAAAATATTGCATTAAATTTATTTACTTCACATGTTTTCAAACGTAAATACCTTTTGATTGATTTTTACTACTGCCGGCTGGACTTGTTAAAAAGTTATCCATTTTAACGACAAACAATACAATAACGAGAAAATACCACGAGATAAACATTTAAATATCGTTAAAAACTATAAAAACAGCAGTAACATCGCAGAATAAGATAAACTGTTGAAAATAAGTAGGGTTAAGTTACTATCGAAAACTATCGATATATTTTAAAAACTATCGATTGTTTTCGATAGTCCAACCTATCGATTACTATGGATAGCGCTATCGATAGTTCTCGACCTCTGCTCGATATCCTCTGTCTACAATTGCAATGTCCCCTTCTTCAAACCAAGCATCATTGTTTCGGACATCCGAAAAATATGGTCCATTGATAGCCAGAATCTAACCATCGGGAGCGACTATCAACTCAGGTTTTACCAAATGCTGCGTTTTATAATAGCAGTACGATTGTCTAAGTACTCTAAAATTAGAACTTTTTTCTAGTTTGTTATATGTGCAGTCTATATACACTATGGCTTTGGGAACGTCAGGATTAGGATTATACAGTGTATTTGTAAATTCATAGACATGTCTGTCTATATACTTGGCTCTGGTAAAAGCGTTAAATCCTATATTATATGGTACAAATCGTTGCATTAGACATAACCGCACCTTATTAATAACTAAACTAGTTACTTGTCGAGAAGGATATTAAAATATAACTTTTAAAAAATTATCTGATAATTCGTGTCTCATTTTTAGGAGAAATGTTAAGTATTTTCTTGTTATATTTACACGATTTCCATCTTGTTCAAAAAAATTGCAGGTCTCATACAACTCGTTGAAATTATTTTTTAGAAATCGATGTTAACGATTTAAATTCCTCTTCTGTAAAGTTATCTATATCTTCATAGGTTCGATCATGATTACTGGTAGCAGCTGTTCGAAGACACTGGAGAAATTGAAGTAGATCATTTATTACATATGGACGGTTAAGAGAACGTAATCCACCTTGCAATATGTTCGAAAGAGTTCCGTTTTCGTTAAGATGATGCTGACATATTCGTACATAGTCCGGGATAACTATATTTGAAACAATAAATATATTTACCCTACACTCAATAGAGAGCCTCCGAATATTTTCAATGGCATTACATATCATGCAAGCGTTGTATTTAGCTGGAAAAAGTACGTTGATTCTGAGACAATTGGGATTATTTTGCATGGCTCTGATGTCTACCAATCTAAGTTGAAAACAATTAAAACATACCCTACTATCTTCATCAATATTCAAAGGTGGTCTTTCAAAAGCTTCACGTCTCAAAATTGCAAGTTCTTGCTGTAAAATGTTTTCTTCGTCATAGAGACGATACATTTGTCGTCTATTATAATTTCTGTTACACACATAACAGTTTGCTCTATTTGCAAAAGCCATAATTAACACTTAAAACATCGTAACATAAAGTTTAACCAACGTAAAAATTATTAATAAGAAACTGAACGAAATATTATATTATATTATATTTATTATATTACTTTTTACAATTTATTAGACAATAGAAACACCAGAATGTTTTGTGCTAAGAAATTATTTTTGAGAGATACATCAAAATAAGTAACAAGTTTTCACAGCCTACCATGATCGTTCATTGCAGTTAGGTTTTTCAGTATAAATTCATGGTATTTCGAATGACTATTTATCTTTTTATTCTTAGTCTACGATACAGGGATATACAAGGAAATACAGAGTTATACAAGAAAATTCAGAATTATAAAAAATCGGTAATCCAAATTGTCTCAGAATAAACGTACTTTTTCCAGCTAAATCCAATACTCGCATAGTATGTAACGCTAATGATAATTTTCGGAGGCTTTCTATTAAGTGTAGATATTTATTATTTCTTAGTTGTTCCTGACTATGTACGAATGTGACAGCATTGTCCTAACAAAGACGGAACTATTTTGAACATGTTAAGCGTCGATATGTAAGAAATGATCTACTTTAATTTCTCCAGAGTCTTCGAACAGCTGCTAATAGTAATCACAATCACGGTCTAAACTGTGAAGCTATAGATAATTTTACAGAAAACGAATTTAAACCATATCAAAGAATTCAAAAAATAATTTCAACGAATTGTTGCAATTTTTTTGAACAAGATGGAAACATAACAAGAAAATACTTGACAAGTTTTTTCCTAAAAATTAAAAATATGGTGTATCAGATAATTTTTTAAAGTTATATATCAATACCCTTTTCGACAAGCATCAACTAGTTTAGTTATGAATAAGATGCGGTCGTCTAATGAAAAAACATAATAATATTTGCGTATTCGGATATTTGGCTTACTAATAATATTAATACATTGTTTGTTTATATGTTACATATTATTTATATTTCCTTAAACAAATAACGTTAGAATGACATAAATCCTGAATGATTAAATAAAATAAAAACATTTATGAGCTCAGGTATAAGCGTATACATTGTGACAGGCTTATCATCACAAAGTCGATATAAAAAAACTGATCATAGTAACTTCGCAAAACTTCTATAGGGGACTAACAAACTCAAATCAAAGACAATAAGAAAAAATTAGAGAAATTAACGGAGGAAATACCCAGGTAGCACCTGACGTCCATAAGTCGTCCGTAAGACGTCAGCGCATTCGTCTAAGGGACGCCTATTGAACGTCCAAAATGACGTCTAAAAGACGCAGTAATGTCACATCCAAAAGACGTCATATAAATGACGTCTTTCGGACGTCATATAAATGACATCTTTCGGACGTCTATTTTTTAAAGAATTTGACCTCATCCAGACCAATATGTCGGCAGGCAACTGACGTCCAAAAGACGTCATTTAGACGTAAACGCTTGGACGTTCATAAAAGCCTTTAGGGTGCGCATTTGATTTGATTAGCATAAGTACAATGTATTTATACTTTATCTATTTCTAATTGAGCTAGTACAAAAAACTGTAGCCGACATTCCCTTTGAACTTTTGCCCCGAGGCACCAACATGCCGGTGGCTCTGAGCAAAGGTTTAAAGCGAATGTCAGCCACAGTTTTTTGTAGTGGTTCAATTAGAAATAGATAAAAGTATAAATATCAATACAGATAAGAAATAATACACGAGTTTCTGAAAAAAAAAAATGTATATTGGTGAAAAAGCATCTTCCAAATAAAAGAGTAGAAATATATTATAATTTTTTATTTTAAATACATTATAAAAAAACTCATTAATACAAAAACTGTCCTAAAACTACCCAACAAAATTTCTTTGGGCGATTCTGCATATTAAAAACAATAAATATGTTGTTTTTTTTTAGGAATTAAATCTCCAAGTAGATAGACACCTTGTAGAAGTGGGGAAAAATCAAATTGTACTTAATACAAATTATGTAATAGAGGAAATGTTATAAAATTCTTTTTATCAATTAATTTATTTGGAAACAAAAAGCATTTGTTCTTAATATCTGAAACAGACCAACTTTCAAACATCTGTGATAAATTTGAAACAACAAATATATCTAGATCTTTGGAATCAAGTGGGTAAACATAATATGACTCATAATTCAAAAACTTTTTTCCTATTAGGAAGATATTTCCATCTGTGGTAGTGCAAATATTATTAATCTCAGCAACATCTCCAGATTTTGTCATAAAGTAAGAATTTGCAAACGAATGGCTTGTAACACTTTAAGTAAAGTTTGTACCAACCATTTTTTTGAATTGTTTTATAGTATTTAATGTCAGAACAGGACCTTCATTATGTTCAATATGTTCAATATTTAACACATAATGATCTTCAATTACTTTTGATTTCGCATACAAAAAGTTTCTTTCAATCAATCTACGATGAATTTGTTGCAATGGTTTTTGTGGAGATCTAACACAACTTTTAATAAAACCCAAAAAATTTTCAAATGGGAAGGCTGAGAATGAGTCCAATGTTCCAAATTTAGTACATTCATTTGCTAGGTGGCATAAAACATGTGTGTTATAAACATAAAAATTCGAACCATATATGTACTCACAATGCTCAATAAAAGTATTTAGTATTTTGTGTGCATTTTCAGCTCCAAAACATGATAGATGCATGTCTGAAACAAGTAAAGTAATACCGACGTGCAATAATAAAAAATGTTCAAAAACTGAAATGTCAGTATTATCCTTAAGGACAAATGGCCCAAAATATAACAAGAAATTGCGAAACTCTGTAGCTTTCCAGTAAGATAAATCTGACAAACTCCTGGGTTTTCTATTAAACTCTGCAGGAATAAAGGGTCTTAAATAGAGTAAGTTTTCACTCCACAATGCAACAGTTGCATGCCTTACTCGGATTTGTAAACCTCCTGATATCCAGGAAACAAGCATTTTCTTCATTACACCTAAGCATACAGCATGCATATAATCAATGG